AAAAAAAAAAAAAAAAAAAAAAGAGAGAGAGAGACTAATGAAGGGTCTCCTGTCCTGAGGATGGTGTCATCCTAGTTTCTGCACGGAGTCAGGGAGAAGCTGCTGTCCTCCAAGACAGGACCTTGAATGGATTGGATGCAGGCCTTTGGGAGAACAAAGTGCACCTCCATCCTAGTTCAGCCCCCCACTATCACCCCCCACCAGGCCGAGCAAGCCAGGGTTCTTGCCTCCAAGAGCCGCCCACGTCAGCACTTATTATAGTCTTGGCTGCGTCAGGAAGGTGGGACGACAAATCAAGGGACAGCAGAGACTCTCCAAATCCTGGGAAGGGGTCTGCAAAGGTGCAAAAGATCTCCTCCCTCCCAGCCCACCGTGCGGGGGGGGGGGGCTCAGCCTCTCTTCTCTATACGCCTCCTTAGGCTTCTCAGTGAGGCTGAAGGACAGAGGGCCTCGAGAACTTCAAGGTCCCTTAGAGGGGTGGGCAACACAGCAACACAGAGCAAACAGTGTCCATTGGCTATGCTTACCTCCTCTTTAACCTTCTAAAAGCGCTGCCCCATAAACCTCAGGAGACTGAGTGGAAGCCCAGAAAAAGCCAGCTGCCATGGCCTCAACAGTGGGAGTCCTTATTTGGGGAGCAAAATTGCCCACCAATGGGTTAACCAGGTGTGAGGGGAGTGCCTTCACTAATCCAACACCCCCTGGTGCCCCCCCCCCGCACAGTACACACCGATCCCTCCTCCCTGCTTATCCTCGCTGCTTCTGAGGCACTCTTGGAGCTCCGGTTGCTATGGAGACTGAATGCATTTTGGTATGGGGGGGTGTCGATTGGTAGATGTAGTTTTTCCCTCCACCTTAGCGGGGGCCTTGGACTCACCGACAAGCGAGGCTCCAGAGCCCTCAGATCTCTTAACCAATCCCGGAGGCAACTCCCCCATCTCCCGCTAAGTTTCATGTTTGTTCCCTTCCCTGGGGAACACTTTTCAAGTTCACTTTGGGACGGTCTGTTCAAGTCAGAGCCCCACCAAAGTACTAAATGTGGGGGTGTGCGTGGGAGAGGGAGCAAGGTGATGAGAAAGTGAACATATCCAGGTACAGCTCAGGGAGAGGAGCCTTGGGAAAAGGATTTCAGGGCTCCCCACTTTCCCACTTCAGCTTCCCTAAAATTGGCAGTGATCCCCAGTTTGCTTTGTTTCCGGCGCCCGTCCACTCAGTAGATCAACTTTTACTCTTATCCCTAAATATCACCCCCCTCAATCTCTCCCTAACCTGGCTGGCAAGAGGAAGGGGCTAGGTTGTTGGAGGAGGTGAGTCCGAGTCCCAGAAAATCCAGACCAGGATTTGGGAGGGAAATCCAGTCCTGGATTTTGTACCGCCCTCGCAGACAGCGGTGCTGGTATCGGGGGGAAGATAGGGTGGGGGGGCCGGGGGCCGCCTCCTCCTCAATGTGAGGGGAGCGCCCGGACACAGCGCGCAT